CCCATAAGCAGCCACCCGGATTGCTTCAAAGCTCGGGTCACCTTCTCAGTCGAACCGAACAGGTCCTTTAGCCAGGACAATGCTGGGACGAGCTTGTTCTCCAGGCTGACTTGGAGGATCCCTGGCTCTTTCGAGATTATGGCCGCAATGTCGTCGGAGGGGAAGCCAAAGTCCTGGAAAACTTGGATCTTGGGCTTGATGATTTTCTCGAGATCGGCTGCGAGCAGATTAGGTCGGATTATCCAGATGGGAATTCGTGAATCCGGTCTGCTTGAAGAAGGAGAGCACAGAATCGAAATTTTCAGGGTGATGCGAACGGGATAAAATGGGGGCGGCGCGTGAAGCCACCTGTGGAGGGAAATTGTGTTTGTTCGTCAAGAACTCGTAAACTGAAGGTGGGGTAGAGGGTTTGGTCTCGATAGCCGTGGAGAAATATGCGATGGGGAGAGATAAGCTGCCATTGGAGATCGATGGCGATAACAAATTCTCCGAGAAGAAAGAGGTGAGATTTCTGCGCAGCAGAGCGTGTAGCGCCATCCGAAATCAATTGAACGGAGTAATGTAAGCGTAGTCCTCAGAGGTGAATCGCAGGCTTCATGGTCGGGAATTGAAGCAGAACAACGCTTGTGGAAGCGTTTAGGGTTTAGGGTTCTTCAAGTTTTTCTTTTACAATAAACCATTTTCTGACCATTGGATTTTGTTTTTTAATCGGTTCGGTGCGAACTAGTTCAAAACTAAAACCGGACTCGAAACCCCCAACAGTCAGATTTTTTAAACTGATCCTTGGATCGATTTGACCTTAAATTCTATAAACTCTCTTTCATTTCAGTTTACGTTCCATAAATTTCTGCATATACTCTCTCATTTCTATGATTTTTCACCTTTTTTTTAATAAATTCTATTCAAAATAAAAAATATTGAGTGGTCGTGGTGGACAACCACCGAAGCGTATAAAAGTAGGTGCGTCTATGAGTGGTCATCCTCCTGACACCGACGTTTAACCTGGACCTTTCAAGTCTACTCAATGACATTGAGCCCGCTCTGGTCCAACTCGTCTTTGTTTGAAAATTTTCCAACATAAGCTACACATTAGAATATCTATATCTATATATATATATATTAAAAGCCATGTTATTTATATATATATATATATTAAAAGCCAACATATTTACCAAAAATAGTAACAAGAAAAGTCAACACATATTTAATGCATACCTTATTTGAAATTTTTTTTACTATATGCATTAAATGCTTGCATATATACATTTACTATCCACATATGATCTTAAAGATTTTTTTTCTAAATAATTTTATTAATTTATGCAATGCTTTTACTGATATCCGTTATAATTAATATTTGTCGAGTAATATTTTTTAACCTTTATTTAATTATATAAAACTAATATTTTCTTAAAAAATTAACATTATTTATCATTTAAAAGATAATGACCACATCATTAAATAATTTTATTGATGACTAGATAATAAAATTATATTAGTTATTCTTTAAATTTCGACATGTTATTTATTTGTATATTATTGTCAACTATGATAGTTTTTTATCACTTTTTTTGTTATGTTTCAAAAATGAACTTATTGTAAAATATTTTTCTATTGCATAGTATGTTAAATAAACTATAAAGTAGGATCAAAATTAGAAAAAAAAAATCTCTTGATTATGTAAGAGATTTATTTTTTGGCAATTGCTAAATCATTTTTTAAAAAAAAATATTATGAGAAAATTGAGTTCTAAAAAACACGTTTGTGTATTTTGTAAACATTTATAATTTTATTTTGAATTACATTACATAAAGAAGACTACTTCTATAATTATTATAAATAATAATAATGACGTTATATGACTATAAATTTTATAATAAAATAATAATTGAGTATTATATGGTGAACGAAAATAAATAAAATTTTTATTTTTTCTTATATAATGAATAAATATGTATTCTAAAATCAAATAAATATTAGTATGACGTGTTAACGGAATTATATATTAATTAACATGTTAATTTTTTGGCATAAATAAACGCCACTTATTAAAAGATGTGGAATATGGATAATCCAAGCCTATTGTTTTATTGTCTACACGTACAAGTCCTATAGAAATAATTGATGTATTATATGTACCACGTGAATCGCACGGGGTATGCACTAGTTTGTTATAACTTTCATTTGAGTATTTTACTTTTATTTAATTATTTATTTTACATTGTCCCTTAGTTAAGTGGAGGAAGCCATTAATTAATAAATGTAAAAGTCAAAGCCATAATTAATCAACTCCTCATCAACTTCAACATTCAATAGAGTTGGGAAGTTTTTTTTTTTTTTTCTGTTTTTAATTAATAGAGTTTTTTTTTTTTTAACCAGAAAAACATCAAATCTTATAAATAAACTCAAAGAAAGTACAATACGAACTCCTAAATAGGAGTATCAATCTCTAGACTGAGACGACAAAGAGGTTACCAAGAACCAACCTAAAGGGCCAACAGGACCACAGCAACAGAAGAACAGAAAAAGCTACGGGAAGAAGAAACACAAACAACAAAAGACTACCCAAACAGCAGAAGCCACAACTAAACTAGACAAAGAAACAAAACAGAAAGAGGAAACTGAAACTACTAAAAATTACAACAACAAAGAAAGTGAAGCAACTGAGAACAGAGACAGAAGAGTACAAATATCATAGATAAGCACATTTGCAGGCCACTTGTGTTGCTCCTTATCAGACAGCATGTGAAACAAGATCTTGTCAGTAAAGGTAAGGGAAATCTTCTGCCAATTAAGTTGTATTCCCAGTTCCAACCACTTTCTTAAGTCTAGCAAGACATCATCCACTGGTTGCTTAGGAGAAGCATTCCTAGATGAGATCCAGTTAGCCAACTCAACATCACCAACATAGGCTGATCCTTTAATCTTCCATAGGGGTACAACAACACTGGGAGTTTGAAAAACCTCCCCTATTGTCTGGATAAACCTCCCCTATTCAGCATATCTGGATAAACCTCTGCCAAATTTGATCTCTTTCATATTCAAACATTCAGCATTTGCTTTTTTCACCAACTCAAACTCTGAGATAAGCTCCTTCTTGAATATCCAGATATTTCTTGTCTTCCACATCCACCACAATAGGTAGGTGGATAAGGAAATTCTATCATGATTTATCTCAGAATCCTTCAGCTTGCACACATCCTCCCACCAAATAGCAAAGGAAAAATGTTTGAGATTATTGCAGTTCCATTGGATCCCGACCAGCTTCCAAACAACACAGTTGAACATGAGATAGTCTAGGTCCTCTACTTCATCTCCACAGCAGCTGCATATATTATCTGATATAATGCCCTTCTGTGATAACCTGCTGCTAGTCCCTACCCAGTTGTGAAGACATCTCCAGACAAAGTTCTTGATTTTTGGTTTGACCTGCAGCTTCCAAAGCTTTTTCCAAAAAATGTGTCTGACTTTAGGGCCTGAGCTCGATTCAATCTCCCCAGCCTTAACATTTTTACTCTTCTGAATGGTTGTATAGACATCTTTAACAGTGAATATACCTTTTTTATTAGGATGCCAAAGGAGCTTGTCTGGAGATCCTAGGTGGCTGATATGAGTATCCAAAATGAGTTGTGCATCTGAAGGATTGAAGGTTTGATGAATAAGGTCAGAATTCCAGCTTCTTCCATCATTAGTCATAAGATCAGACACCATTTGTAAGCTGTTTCTATCTTCCTCAGAACAAGAAGTTGGTTTAGAATGAGTTGCATTTGGTAGCCAAGGGTGATCCCAAATTCTAATAGAGAGCCCATTGCCAACCTGATATCTTAGCCCCAGAACCCAGGATTCCCTGCAGTCTAGCCAACATCTCCACATCCATGAGTCAGAGTCCTTCTTTGGAATTTCTAGAAAAGATTTTTCATGGCAATATCTGCCCCTCAAGACCCTGCTCATGAGGCAATTTGGCTTTGTTAAGACTCCAGATCTGTTTCAGCATAAGAGGTTCATTCATGTCTTTCAAGTCTTTAAAGCCTAAACCACCATCCTTCTTATCTTTGGCTAATTTTTCCCAGTTGGCCCAATGGTTTCTAGATCCTCCCTCTTCATTCCTTCCCCACCAAAAATCAGCTATGGAGTTGCAAATGTCATTACAAAGACCTACAGGCAGCTTAAATACAAACATAATATATATAGGCATAGCACTCAAAACAATTTTTATCAAAATCTCCGTGTCTGCTTCACTAAGAAAAACATTTTTCCAGTTTGTCACTCTATTAATCACACAATTTTTAACAAAAGCAAAAGTATATTTTTTATTTTTACCAATTCCCATTGGAAGCCCTAAGTACTTTGAGGATTTGGCTATCACAATTCCATGAAGCAGATTGCAGATTTCAGCTTTTGGCTATCAAAGGGGTATTGGCTAAGAAAAAAATATTAGATTTATGCATATTAACATATTGGCCAGAGACTGCACGATAAGACTTGAGAATGTTTAGCAAAATCTGAGCATGAGCCTTATCTGCCTGACAAAAAATGAGAGAGTCGTCAGCAAAAAAATAGATGAGAAATAGGCGGGGAAAATCTGCTGATCTTAAGACCCTTGAAAGAGGAAGAGGAACAAGCAATTCTAATAAGATTAGATAAGACCTCTGTGACAATGATGAAGAGATAGGGGGATAATGGATCCCCTTGTCTAAGACCCCTAGTGGGAATGACAGAACCAAGGAATTGACCTCCTATATTAAAAGAAAAGGAGGAAGAAGAAATACAAGACCAAATCCAACCCAGAAAAGTATCACAAAAGCCCATCTTCTTGTAAATACTAATAACAAAACCCCATTTTACCCTGTCAAAAGCTTTGGCCATGTCTAATTTTAGGGCCATAGAACATTTTTTGCCTCTTTTTTTGCTATTAAGGAAGTGCACACACTCATTGGCCATGATAATGTTATCCAAAATTTGCCTATCAGGAACAAAGTCAGCCTGAGTTTGGGAAACACAAACCTTAATAACAGACTTGATTCTAAGAGCAAGGATTTTGGCAATGATTCTATAAGTAATGGTGCACAGGCTAATGGGTTGAAATTCCGAGACAAGTTTAGGATTTTTACATTTAGGGATAAGAGTAATGACAGTGTGGCTAATTAATAGAGTTGGGAAGTGAAATTTGAGAAATTTTTTTAGCTCATGTTAGTAATCAAAAACCACCACAGTACTAGTGAAAGATATGTTTTTTCTCACCTTTGTAGGTTTCGAATCAAGACCGAAAAAGGCAGAGCATATTAAAGATGTCCGCAGTAAGGAGGGTATTGAAATTTAGAAAGACATTTTAAAACCATTAGAATTTTGGTGTATTCAGTTAAAATTTTTAAAGATTTTTTATATGTCCATAAAAGTGTCAGCGTATTAAATTAATCATTTCTAAGAATTTAAGTCTCCCGATATTCAACAACAATCAAATAAATATGTGGAACATTATCCTTGGGTAATCTCCAAGTGATCGAACTTATAGTTGTATGGAGCAGAACGACCAGTGCAAGAGTCTCATCATCCTTCCCATGTAGCAGGGTAATCTCCAAGTGCTCGAACTCATCCGGAAGAGATGACAACATCATAGCTAAATCTTCATCGTTGAATATGATGTTTAAGTCCATCTACAGATTGAACATAGTGGGGTAATCATTCATCGATGATCGATGTGTCATGCTCGTACTCAAATCACAATAATCGCTTCTTCATAACGAGTTTATTCTGGCGCTCTTCTTCAGAAATTTATCATTCAAAGTCTTCAACAGGGTGTGGGCAGAGTTCTCATTCTTAAATGCATGCTTTAGCTCTCTAGACAATCAGGAACGAAATGTTCCACATGCTAAGTGTTGATATTCTTTCAGTCATTCTCGTAACGTCGTCTGACTTCTCTTATTCAATGAAATGTTGACACCTTGCTCAAAGATACAATCAAACAATTTTCCTTGCCACATGTAGAAATGACCGGTTCCATCGAAGATATCCAGTGGGAGTCCGACGTTCAACATCACAGTCCTTGCTGAAATGAGGGTAGATGATGATGCACCCTTGATTTCCTTGACCATCTCAAACTCGAATGCAGTGCTCGCCTTAGCAAATGAGCTTAGGATGAACTTTCTGCTCTGATACCACTTGTTTGGGATATCAACAAGCGCAACGAACAAAAATATCCCACAACAAACAATGGCAAGCATTGATACACACAGAAATAAGCCACCACAAATAAATAAACGACGAGAAAGAAATAGAACAAACAAAATCGATGCCGAAGTTCGACCAATATTGTCTATGTATCCGGACACCGCCAGCCGCAACATCAAATTCACTAAACTCACCAACAAAATACAACTATTGAACCAGAGTTCGACCAATATTGCCTATGCTGAATATTGCCTATGCTGAGGTCTAATACTGATTCTGCTTAACGTGCACTTTGGTTCATATGTTAAATTATTTGTTTATATGAATTATGTGTGCAATCTCATTGAAAGAAACAATGCCATCGGTTTCTGAATGATCTTTTCAGTCCCACAATATCTTAACCAACTGATTATTGAATATATACATAGTGGGGCTCTCTTTCAATAATGGAAGTAGTTTTACCTAGGTTTTAAGTCGTGTTCAATCAAAGCCAACTGGTGAAACCAATCCACAAGATTAACTGCAGGGGCAGGAGAGAAAATCATCCCTACCCTGTACAAAACTAAAGGAGAGAGACAGAAACAAAAAAATCAAGGCTGTTTTAGATTAAACGGTTCGATCTTTGCATACAAGTGTTAATGCTAATGAGGGTCTGAGACTTAGAGGACAGACATCTTGGTCATCTAATTTTTGGTCACCACAGGAAATGAAGATATACTCGGCAATTTTATTGGATTATTATTTCAATACTTCCCATTGTTCATGTTGGCCAAAATTCCATTCTAGTCAGGCTTACACTGTACTTCAACAGTAATCGTTGTCTCACCCAAATCACTCAGAAAGAAATTTGAACAAAAAATACTAGCTATTTTATATAGTCGGATATCTTTATATTATACTAAACCTAACCTTCCAGAATGAGCTAAATAAACGTTTTACTAGGTGCACAACAACAAATAACGAAGGTACCTTAGACTAAATCAATGCTTCAAAACGATGATGACATTGATAACGATCGAATGGACATGAAAAAGGAACAAGAGGTAAAGTCCTCAAGACAAAGTACATTAGTCAGAAGCAAGAATGCAACAAAAGACCAATTACATCTTCTTCACCAGACACCACTAAAAAAAACCATCAAAGCAAAAGCATCCAGGCCGTTAACCAGGTTCAACAAATTTTACCTCTCTTTTGCAACTGAGTGCCATCTTGTCCAGATAATTCTCACCAATCTCACTCATATACTGGCCAACATAATCCTTGAAGAACTCTTTGTCTGTCATATCACAAATTGATCCGAGAGAAGGCCATTTGTTGATCAGGCCCTTGCTCTCCAAAATCCCAAGAATCTCAAACCGTGGCTTGCACCGCCTCTCAATGCTGTGCACGAGCAACCTCGGATATTTAGCAATCGACGAGGCCTCATATTTTCCGGTCCCCAGTACAACCTGTTTGACCATCCTCATCTTATCCTCAGATGAACAAAGAACATTGGGGTAATGCTTCAAAGCCCTAACTATGTCATCCTCTGAGAATTCCAGAATTTCCTGAAAAGCCTGCAGCTTGCGTTCCCAAGCTCCATCCGGCATCGAGCAAATGACCCCAACAGCATACACGGACATTTTCGAACTCCAAACGACATCCATTTGATCCACGACCTCCAAGCATCTGCTTAGAGCTTCTGGCTTGCAGAGTATGACCCGCGGCATATAAGTGATAAGCCTGGCGACTTGGTCCCTGGACATGCCATGGCTCATCAGGTTCTGGACATTGGGCAAAGTGATATTTTCAAGATCCCCCATTAGCAGCCACCCGGATTGCTTCAAAGCTCGGGTCACCTTCTCAGTCGAACCCAACAGGTCCTTCAGCCAGGACAATGCTGGGACAAGCTTCTTTTTCAGGCTGGCGTGCAGGATCGTTGGCTCTCTCGAGATTATGACAGCAATGTCGTCAGATGGTAGGCCAAAGTCCTGGAAAATTTTGATCTTGGGCTTGATGATTTTCTCGACATCGGCCGCGAGCAACTGGGGCCGGATTAACAAGGTTCTCTCCAGCTGGGCTTTTGTGAACCCGATCACCTCGAAAAAGGAGAGCACCGACTCGTATTTTCCGGGGTGATTCAAAGGGGATAAAAACGAGGCGGCGCGTGAAGCAACCGCAGGGGAAAACTGATGTTTGTGCGTCAAGAACTCGAAAAATGAAGGTGAGGTAGAGGGTTTTGTCCCAATAGCCGTGGAGAAATGTGCGATCGGGAGAGATAAACTGCCATTAGAAATCGTTGGAGATAACAAATTCTCCGGGAAGAAAGAGGTGAGATTTCTGCGCAGAAGCGCGTGTAGCGCCATCCGAAATTAATTGAACCGATTAAGCCATAGCATTCGATTGGATGAGGAAGTTACTCGCCTTGGCAAATGAATTAGCGTCGTCCTCCGAGGTGAATCGCAGGCTTCATGCTCGGGAATTAAAGCAGAACAGCGCTTGTGGAAGCGTCTAGGGTTTAGGGTTCTTCAAGCTTTTCTTTCACCGGGCAGAACCGATCCCCCCTTGGTTTACCCGAGTTGGTTCAGTTTCACAGAATAATAATGTTGCGAAAGCCTATTGAAGACATCGCTCGAGCTCGCGGAGCTCAGCGGTGGTTAAGAAAGCCTGTTGAAGACATCGCTCGAGCTCGTGGAGTTTGGTGGTGGTCGAGATAGGGCGAAAGCCTGTAGAAGACGTCGCGAGACGTCGCTCGAGCTCGCGGAGCTCGGCGTTGTCCAATTCAAACGATTACCGAGCCTATCTCAGCCCGGCATGAAGTTAAACTCGCCGCCGCATTAGGGCAGGATAGTCGTTGTGTTTATAAGCTCACAGTATCGTTGTGTTTATGAGATCGGCAGCGGGTCCACAGACTCGTAGCCAAATTCATGGCGAAAGTATGTCGTGGCGTTGCTCGAGTTCTCGGAGCTCGACAACAGGTCCTTTAATTTGTAGCTAGATGAAGGGTAATTAGCCCATCGTAGTGGTGTCCGAGCTCGTAGAGCTCGGGAGGCCGTAGATATGAGAGTCATTGTTACAACTCGAGCAGATAGTGCAAATGTCAAACGTTTCAACGTGGCAGAACATCGAGCATGTTACTCGAGGGCCACAAAGGAAATGAAAGTGTAAAGTTAGCCCAAGAGCCATAGTTGCATGCAGATGGCAGCAGAACTCTGACGTGGTAGACTGTGGGGGCTAGACGAGCCCAGGAACCCGACGTTGTAGTCCTACGATATACACTTGGGCGAGACATGATTATTCTACTCTTAGACAAGTCTTATATTCATAAGCTCGTCTAGAGTGGGGGGGCTAGATGATGTAGCACGAAGAATAAATCGGTGGACCGGCCTGAGCGGTTAGCTCGGATAGGCCGGTCCAAGGAAGTTTAGAGCTAATTTATGTGATACACGGTATTAGTTAAAGATATTCATGAAAGTTGGTGTATATCTACACAATTATTGAGGAGTATCATAATTCTTGTTTACTGAGAAAACTCATTATCTTGGGAAGTAAGTCATTATACCCTTTATAAATAAGGGATGATGTTCATTTTTTAATCCTAAGCTCTTAAGATTACTGAAATACATAATTAAACACCGGTTTGCTGACTTGAGCGTCGGAGTGTCTACGCCGAGGCCCGCCCCGACGCTTTGCAGGTCGATCCGGTTCTTGAAGACAAAGACAATAGAGATGTCTGAACTCTCACGCAATCGAGATGAGGCGGTTTGACCGGCAACCTCGGTGAGTCAATTATTTTGGCTCATCAACTATGTTAGGAAATGACAATTTACATACTGCAGCTCCTCTATACCATACACTTCGACAATGATATCTACATATTTAAAATGATAATGAATTTATAGATTAATCAAATGATATTTTTTATATATATAGTTCTTATAAAAAAAAAAAATTATTTAGAGAACACATACCAAAATCGCAAATAGTATTCAAAATTGCTAAAGTCGGCGAAATATTAATCTCTTCTCCAAGAGGAATCGGCTTTTTGTGGAGGCATAAAATAAATTAGTGTTAAGTAGGCCATAAATAAAGCTACCATAATATGAGATTAGTTGTGAAAATGAAGATAACAAACATATCATTTTTGCCTAATTTTCATAAAAGAAATCATTAAAGAATTTTACAAGAAGAAGCTACCATAGTATGCGAGATTGTTGATTTGCTTGTACCATTCAATTTGGAAATCATTATCCGATCTGAAAGATTTCAAAAAAACAAAAATTAAAAAAAAAAAAAATTATAGGTTATATTAATCAATCAATAGCACAATGCAAGATTACAAAATAATTTTAGGGTTATATTAATAAAAGTATTATGAAATTACCCAAGTTAGTCTTTCATATTTAAAGAATGTCCGAACCTATAATAACATTATTTTTTATTCAAACCAAATTATGAAACATGTTTTTTCCTAAGTAGGATTCCGAAGCACGCGAGATGTCATGTAGGTTTAACGCATTTTAAAATTATATATAAGGGGATTGGTATAAACCATTTTAGTGGGTCTAAGTAAACCATTTTCCGAAATGGTATAAAATTTGTAGAGAAATTTACCCCACCTACAATCACTTGCCTAAATAATATCAAATTTACAATGATATCAAACTTTCATCAAAATTACGAGATGCTTTAATTAAAATAATTTTAATAATAGATAGGCGGTTTAAAGTTGGGCTGATTTTTCGGTAAGTGATGTTAATGATATTTAATTATCCGAAATTATTTCATGCCTTTTAGCTCAACAGAAAAAAAA